AAAATTCATATATAAGAGATTGCAGATTCTAGTGTTACATTTACCCATCTTCATTTTAAAAAAAACATCTCTTATAAAATAAATTATTATCAAATTCTCAGATTTTATTGGAATGGAGCTGACTTTTTGTAATCTTGATATCTTTTTTCTCATATGTAGTTTTTCCATAATTGATTATATTTAAATTGTAAGAGGTATAGTACTTTTTTTGAGAATTTAGGATGACTATATCACGTAATACTTAGTCTCATCTTTCCACTCCGTAGACCAGCATTCAAAACATGATGATGGAAATAAAACAATGCAATCTGGTTATCAGTCACTTACAAAATTTCCCCCAAGCATCTCAAGATCCATGTCCATAAATTGATAAACCTCCAAGCCGGAAAAATACATAGTTGATTCTATTTATACGCCTTTACACGGAGAGGTTGGGAGCTGTTGCCAAACTGACCTCTCATCTTCTTCGATGGAGGTTGGCTGTCATTTCACTCTGCAATCACATGTATTATTTGTAATTGTCTCATTTCAGATAACGATATCATATTTTGGAACAAATAACTAACTACTATAGCATTAAGTGTTATGAGTATCAAAACATTGTCCATGTGATTTATCCAACTTCATTCACTAATTCAAACATAATTTTGCTAATAGTATTGTGAATAACTATGTTACACTTTCCAAAATAAGAAATCATATTATTACATATAGATTACGTCAAAATAGAATATTTCTATAATCAATATAAAATAACCCATTCTTACTATTTTGGAATTCGATGAATAAACAAATTAATATCATGAAATGTCAGAAAAAAATACATTTCATAATAAGAAGAATGTGAAATATATCATTAGCAATACGAAGAGTGCGAGCGACGTAAGAGATGTAGCTGTGAACAGCCAAAAACATGCATGTAATATACGCGACAGGTGGCTCTCCAAGAATTCTGGCCGAAGAGGACAGATGGATTGCACGAGTGGGTGATTTAGCGTTCGTCTTGAGTCCTGAGTCGTGGACATGATGAGCCGCTAAACTGAAGAGCCGGAATCGATCATCGCGGGTGACAGGACTGGCGGTAGAACAGTCAACAGTGTGACACCGGGACGCGATCTCCTCCGCTCTCATTCTCTCCATCGCAAGTCCAGGGTCTCCACTGATGCTGCGCCGAACGCTCGGAACAGCTCTCTTGGCGGTTCGGTGGGACCTGCCGTACGTATGCGTATTCCCCGCCCACAAGATAACGCGATAGACACGTGGCCTAAAATATTGCACATTCCACAAATCTAACACCCATAGTAGTCGTCAGTCCTGCAGACAGCAGTTATTCCGCAAGTGGATGATTCTTGCGCGCTTGCTCAGGTGGCTTGCGAACGAGTCAATTAGTGCTCCAGATTCTGTAATTCAGAGCTCGATGATGGAGCCTCGATCTATTCATTTCACTTCGGCGATCGTAGGAATTATTAGGGGATATCAAATAAGAAAAAAATATCTCACAAAAGTCGAGTATTGTGAGAATAGAGAGTAGTATCCACACCAATGAATTTTCTCAAAGTAAACAATTAAAAATTTTATTGTTGCGATTGTAATAAATGAAACAAGTGAATCGAGTAAGAGGAGAATGTATCTACGAAGTCTCATAAAAGATTACTCTATGAAAAGGAAATTCTGAGCGGATAAACGTACGTTGGTCGTGAACCTGACGGAGACGCTTTTGGAGTCTCGAAAAATGTCTTACTATCGCCGAACAAAAGGTTGCGTTTGGAAATCCCCTTCTGCAGTGTCACGCTGCTGTGAGTTGTTATCATTTACGGCCGTGGAAGAGACGCTTGTCACCGAACCCGCTCCTGTCCCCCTGTCCTGTCCTCGTTTGGCTTCACTGGCAGGCAGACTGAATGTCTTGCCGGCCACTATTGCTCAACATGGTGCGGAGCCGATCGCTGACGATGTTGCATGCTTCGTTGTGAGAGTGTAAGTGTTCTGCTGCAGCACAGTTTTGTGCTGTAGCTGGTCAGAGATGTGAAATGTAGATCACCCGGCGCAGCAAAGTCGCGTCTGATCTGCTCGTCGTTCCAAGTTTTCAGTGCCGATTTGATCATTGGCTGTGGTCTTGTGACGTGACGATAAGTTAAAAATTGGTGCAAAATCTTTCAAACGTCCATAAGTTTTTGGTACTCTCGAAAATCTATTTGATTGCGGAAAACATAGTGGTTGTGATGACACGAATCAGAAATGTTGACCCCTACATTCCCTACAAGTTCGGGTTTAGTTTTAATCCCAAGATGTCTTCTTGACAAACGGTTTTCCACAATGTGTAAGTTACCGATTCTTATATTCTCTTTTGATTTAAAACACATGAGTTTTTTTAAGTGGGTGAATAGCCAAAGTTTTGCATTAGTCGATCAATTTCGTGAACATTGACTAAGATGTTTGCCCTACTCAACGTCAACTATCAAACTTCCACGAACTATCGCGTGGGACCTGGGCGTCGCATCTTCCTTTTAGTATGTATACATATCCATCTTCCTCTTAATATGTATACCTTTAGACCTCAGTTGGGCGTCGCATGATTTGATCACGCGACGTGATTTGCGACGCGACCAAATTACTTGACGTGGCCAAATCAAGTCAAGTGGCAAAGTCAAATAAAGAATCCCTTTTACAATCCTCTCTCCCACAATTATTTGGAGACCCATCTACTCCAACATTCTGAGTGCAAGTGCCGTGAGTGACGTTGGTCTCGTTCCAACAGCTGGCGGTGATCAGATGAATTACGTGGATTACATACAATTTACTCAATACGTGGATCATCTTATGGACTCAGATTTTGGTACAAACACTTGCTAAACTCGTCGTGTAAATGAGATAATTGGAAACCAAGAGAGTTCTCTTGTCATAACTTCAAAAAAATTCCTCACTAAGACCTTCATCAGTCATCCTTGGTTTTCACCTCTCAGTTCGTCACCTTTCAAGTGTCGCATGAGAACATGCCTATGAAGCAGGTCACGTATCCTTACAGAGAACTCAAGGCCTCTGAATTCACGGAATCAACAAGCCTCAGTCAAAAACAAAAATTCCACATGCCTTCTCTACACGAGAAAATCTATCTGAAAAGGTGTCCTAAGTTTATAACGTTCTTGAACTCTTGAAACTTCACTGCTACGGGGCGAAACCATATCCATGGAGTTCCAGGGCTCTGGCTGACTACATTATAGAAGAAAACGGGTCAAACAACAAGAATGACGGAAAAGAAGCTTGAGGTGTCCTTCTCTAAACAAACTGAAAAAGAAATGATTCCTTGTTTCTTAACATAAATATCACATATGGAAAGCAACCATTATTCATACAAGACAGCACGGCACTGTCTGATGTAAAAGTCTTGACCTTCAGACACCAATTTTTTGAAATGATAAATTATACTGAACTTTACAAATTGATTTATTCATACGACGATAAAGATAACAGAGACATTAATCGATGGAGTGAGGAACAAGATTCTCAGTTCTCAGCGTCACATCAACATCTAAAGTTTTTAAACAAATTGTCATCGATCCTAAGAGCCTCCCTCCCTAAAGTCCGAAGTGGATAACATTGAAACCCTAGAGGTAAAAGGGCATCAGATAAATAATCAAACCTTACAAAAGGCGGATCAGACAAAAAGCAAATCAAGACCTGCTCTGCAAAAGCTCTACCTTAATTACGGCTATAGAAGGCAAAGCCTCTTAGCAATGTCCATGGATGTCTTCTGCTGTATCTACGAATTCCCAAAAAAAATGGCCAGCCTAGTTACAAGTTGATGTGTAAAATCGACACATCCATGGGACTTTAGGGGACTTTAGGTTCATTCCGTCCGCTCTATGTCCAATTTTTAAAGAATGGCGAAAGGTTCAGGGGAAACTTATACAAAGAATGTTTAACTAAATTGGAGAGCATTCGAACGAGAATATATAATCATTCACAACAGATGTAGACGAGTTCATAGCAAATTGAACATGTAATATACTAGATGACCATATGTAACTGCATTATCAACTAAGTCAAGATTATCTGATCTGCATTGCATGCTTACATAGAAGTAGCTAACAGTAGCTTCTATCTTTGGTCAGCCAACCAACAATTGATACTTCTCGTTTTTATAACACGAGACTACCACAAGTGCACATAAGAACCGAATCAGAATGACGTGCAGTCAATACGGAGACTTCTCAGTCACAGCCAGTCTGCATTGTACTCGTCGCCTGGCTTGGCAGGCATGCTGATCTTCCAACAAAAGATCTAGCAAACTAAGGAGGGGAGCGAGTATAATCCTACACGGACTACAGCAGTATGTGTGATTGATGTACACATTCGTTGGGCTTTCGAGAGGAGCATAGAGACAAATACATAGGGAAGAGCCTTTCTTCTAAGATAAAGCAGATACTCTGAATCATATGGACCTAAGAAGATTTGAGCATGAGACCTTTGAACCAGTGTTGTAGGACTGCCAACAAAAAATGCACATAAAACAATTGCAGCGCTGAAAAAAAAAACAAATATCAACCGGAAATTGGGTTTGAAGAGAACAGTACAAACAAGTGCATCACACTGATAAGAGAGAAAGAAAGGAAAAGCGAAAGATGTGTGAATTTACTACACTTCAACAACACCGGAAGGATGTATTGAACAAAGGGAAACCAACATGATACATGAGTATCATGTTGGTTGGAGTATCATGTATCATCATAAACTGTCACAGTAGCAAAGTGAGTCATGGAACAAAATGACCGTGAAGTGGTGAATATTCAAGGCAATCGTCTCCATGAGAAAAAGAAACTTCTTTGCAAGGTGGCGCGATCCTGTAAACTACTGATAAATACGTTCAGTTGTGTCTTCACTCAACGTACGAGGATTCATAAGATATGACAGGGATCCATGTGTTAACTTTACCTAAATCCAGAACCTAAATGAACAAACGTGAGAAAGTACCAACAATTAAAAACATCAAACTGGGATCCTTCCTGACAATATACAGCGTATACGCAAACAATGCTACAATAAAATCTTGCAGGTTTTCTTCATGAAATTGGAAGTCGGATGTGAAGTATATGATGGAAGCCATACTTTTTCTTAAGGTTGGCAATCATTAACTGAAAAGTGTGCAAAGCACGATTCACAGCGTTGTGCGACTTTTGACATCTACCAAGGGGGAAAACCAGCATCCGTGCACATTGCTTCAGCAGAAACAGGCAACTGGGTGATTTTGATTTCGACCTCGGAAGAAAGCTTCTCTCCTTCATATATTCCTACGGAAATAAAAGATAGGAAAACCCCGGAGAAAAACAACAAGATCCATAACCACCTCCTTTTCTGCAAAGAATGAATGCTATCAGCCGTGGAGGCCATGACAAAATTGTAAACAGCCCTGACAAGCTGTTGATATACTAGTCTGTATGACCCAACTGAGATTATGAAATTATCTGAATTTAGCTGAAAGAGAGCCAAGGGCACACACGTGACTTGAGGAGGATCTACACAACAATGTGAAAGCGGGTAACTTACGACTCCCAGTTGTAAGTCGAGCTGCGGTATCCATCAATGCGATCTACAGCAATTGACAAGCGCCATCACTTGTGGGACTGTCAAGCAGAAGCTACTTCAGGAGTAGCTGGAGGTGGTACCGAAGGCGTGCGTTGACGTTTCCATTGGGTTTCTAACAAGCGATGAGGGACTAGTCTAGCTTCACTTCGTGACATCCTTGTCCCAGCCTTTCTGAATACCCTTAACCGAGCTAGATCGGCTTCTGTTTCTTCAGACATTTCTTTCACAATGACAGTTAATCTTGACCTCGCGTGCTCCATCTTCCCAGATTTCCCTTTTCCATGGGGCATGTGACGCTTCAGAAATCTGACCAGTGAAGTCACAAACGGAAAGTTTGGAGTAAGGTGAAAGAATCGTCTTCCGTCTGAATAAAGTATTTGTTCGTCCAGAATTGCATCTTCAACTCAATCAAGCAAACGAAGAGCAGGGCGTTAGAGAAAAAGAAAGTTGAGCTGCACTTTCGTTCACTCACTTATCTTTGCCGACAAATGCTTCGGCGACAACGAGACGATCCTTGTTCAACCCATAGTTGTGGACAGCGTTAGCCTGCGCTGAAAGCGTTACTTTAGCCACTGTTTTTGCAGCACGCTTGAGTGAAACAGCCAACTGATTGAGAGCATCTTCCAAGCGCATACCTCGAACCATCTCCGCCATCATATTCAGTTTTTGCGGACTCATTCTAATTCCAGTCAAAACTGCTTGGGCGGTCTTGTCTTCGGAAATTCCAAGTTTCCTTCCTGTAGGCCCCAACAGAGGTCCCGGTGCTTGTGAAAGAGGAGATCGAACCGGCTCTTCGGCATCGGCTCGGTAGGCGGTAGTCGATATGCCATATCGAAGCTGAAAATCGCGTAATGCAGTCAAGCGAGATCCAGTCCCACCGACCGAGAAGCTACGTACACATCCAATTCCAGCATCGAAACCTGCTGCAGAGAAATTCCTCGCTCCCGACAATTGTCCATCCGATCCAGCTCTCGATGCGGGACGAACAAATTGCTGCACCTGCCTCAGCAATGACAAAGCTGTCCTCCTATAACCCATCCTGACAAATCCCCAGCCTCCCTGCCCGTCTTTCAAATCTCGTCGTCTGCTGTCATCTTGATCAATCCTACGTTATTCTACGTTGATTTTTGGTGAAAACTTTCAATTAATTTTGTCCCCAAGCATCGCAGACTCCCCATCCGATTCATTTAGCACGATGTTTCCAGCATCTTGGCATCAATTCTTACTCTGTTCTCAGTCGGACGGTCTTTAGGGTTTCATATTTCCGCAGTCACAGTCGTCCAGCTCGCAAACAGGCATCCAAATATAGTTCGCCATGTGGCAGGCGAGCGTGATTCTGTTCTTCGTTATGCTCTGCGAGGGGATGTCATTTGTTTGAAATTATTATGAAAGGGAGCCATGAAAAAAGTCGAGGACAACGAAAACCTGCTGTCCGGCTAGCCCCATAGCAAATGCATATTCAAAATGAGAAAAAGTACAAAATTCTTCAAAGGTCACAGGCGAGTCGTTGCAATTGAAGGAAGAGTTTTCTACTAGATACTAATATCATGCTTAAATGCCCTAAACGCAAATCTCTTTTATATAGAATGAATGAAGAACTTTACATGATTGGCCAGATTCTCAAAGAAGTTAAGTTTAATTTGAATGGAATACAATTTTCCCACTATATTCACATTGGATGTAGACTTACACAAGTGACGGGATGTTATGACCTATACAGTTTTGTAATATATAATATTTGCGGCATGCCATAAATAAAAATGATAGTTTTAGTCGACGGTTTCTGGAGTCGACGGCTCCTCTTGTTTGTTACGCTTGGAAAAATATTAAGTCTTGAGAGGTGGAAACTAGCGATAGCTGCTCTGCTCGTTGCTGTTGAATGAACAACAACAACTCTTCAGCGTAAAAAAGAACGACAATCTGAAAAATTCTGTTCTTTCTTTTTTGCTACAGAGAAGAAGCGAGTATTGTTTACTACAACTGGCCAAGGTATCTCACGTTATTTTTTTGCTCTTCAAGAGTTTTTGCTATTGAAGAACTGTTGTAGATGATATGTTATCAAAGAAGCGTGAAACTCCATTCAATTCCTCTTACGAACTTGAGTTCGGATTGAAGATTTTGACGTGGGATCCATTGTCATATGTCGTCACATTAATTTTGTGTCGTTTTTGTCAAGTATGGGATTGTGAACAAAAGATCGGCCAGAAGCGCAAGCCGGCTCGGACCACAAAGTATTTTAAAGTTCCATATTGACCAAAACTTTATTCACAGCATCTCGAGAGCCAACACTTGATAAATTGGAGCAAATATCATTCTTTGTCAATAGACGCGAAGCGAAGTTTCTTTGATGCTACTGTTTTTATGAATACTATACATGCTCATTCTGTTGGATAAGGAGATCAACTGTATTTTCATATAATCATAAACATCGTAGATATAATTTTGCGTACACTTCTATTTGATTTCAAAGCTAAGGACGTTTATATTAATTGAGCGTTGAGATTTTTTGAGTCAATCAAATCTCACAGTGTGATTGTAGTATACCAAGTTCATATCAAGAACATCAAACTTTTCAAACTTGTTATTGGTATGATTGAACTTGGCTCGTCGTTCAGATTAATAGCGCGTCAAGTGGAATGTGCACGTGAAGAATTAACTCTCGATTATCTCGGCGGATGCAATGAGTCAAAAGTATCATTTTTTGTTCGGGTTGTTGCTCCCGTTTGACTTCAGAAACTCAGCAAATTACTTGTTGATTGTTGGGACTTTTTTGTCGCATTTGATTCATCGACTGTTGAGACCACCTCGTATTTTGAGTTGAGGTTTGTTGTAGAAACTAGGTTGTATTGTTTTCATTTATGTTATCTTACTCTTTACGGATGACACACAGTTGACAATTTGTTCGAAACGTTTAAGAAAGCTATGGATGCAATTTGTCCATCTTGGGTATACACACTCTTATCAACATGCTCTCTTAGTGCCAGGAATATGACAAGTCGAGTACGTGAAATAGTGACGCGTGTCTTCACTCGAGTTGAACAGGAAGGTAGTTACTTGAATTGATTCTGGTGTGGTGCACACCAACTTGATCTTGTTGTTCAAATAGTTATTTCATATTATCTCAACAAAGAATTTTATTCGACTTAAAGTACCATCATCAGATACCTTTGTCAACAACAAAATTTGGTCAGTGAAATGCGATCTAAGTGTCCAAACTTGCAACTACTCGCTGATTATCGTTGGAAAAAGTATTACATTGATTATCAACTCATCGTTGCCGTATTGTTGATTACATAGACCAGAAAAAATTTGATTTGAAACTAGTCGTCATGTGGTGGATTGCTTTGTTTTCATTGATCCCAATAGTTACAGAGAGTGACATTCTTTTTAAACCTTGCAACATTCTACGTTGTTGGTCACACAACATGAAATTGTTTTTACTAGATTCATCTGTTGTCTTCAAGATGTGACAAGAGTGGAAGATACACTCTCTGAATTGTTATTTCAATAACAAGATTAAGATATGTGGTGTTCTAACAGTTTTTACAGGATTGCCAAGAATGGGATCGTGCACTTTGTTCGAGTATGTGGTTTGTTCATTGCTATGTCATTCGATAGCTTGTGTCAAGTTGAGAATTATGTTGTGGTTTGTTTAGTTGGAAATCTAATAGTTAATCTTCCAGCATGAATACATGCAACCGAGCCATAAAGGTATAGTAACAATGCACCAGCAACAACTTTACCCTCATGTCTTACTCGCAAGTTGGTGACCATGCCTGCATCAAGCTTAATGGAACTTATCATTAGATTTTGATCTCGACTTGAGAAGAAATTCACCGAGTATATTGACAACTTGGAACGAGAAAACAAAAAACCGAGAAGTACTTATCAAAGAGAAGATATACTCTGTGACACTGTGGATCAAATGCCGGGATCTGTAGATTTTCATGAAGCATGGAGTACTCTTGAACGTAGATTTCCCAAACTTTGCATGTTTGTTGGAGGATTTGCTAGTGTATATCCTGGTATAACACGGATGGAGAGTGCTTTTTTTGTCATTAGTTGGGAGAAAGATGAGTACAGATCGTACTTAATGGATCTGTCACTTGAGTTCATCATGCACTGTAAACAATATAAGTAAATTCAAGCAATTTGATACAATGGTCATATTTGTCATAAATAAAATTCAGATGATGCCATGAAAGAGTAGGTTATGACAGATTTGGCAAATGCCAAGTTGGCAGAGTCCTGCATATGCCTAATCAAGTCTATGTGATGATCTAAGCACCACCGAAAGAAAAGAACATAAGATTTTGAGTAGAGTTAAGTAGGAATGATATGCATATGTAGAATAAATAGTGTTTTAATCAAAATGAATTTTGCATTTTACAAAAACTTGTAAGATTGATTATCCTGACTCTATTTACAACTTTCAATATTTGAAAACATCAAACTATGAAAAAAATTCAAAAATGTAAAAATTAATTCAATAGAGACGAATATTTTCTCTGAAAATTAATTAATATTTTTAATTTTTGTAAAAGAAAATTTATAATAAAACTTATCGCTTATGATGAATACTTTAACTTGAAAAAAAATACTCTTTGATATATACAATCACACATAACGATTGAAATGTAATAAACTTGCATAACATATAAGTCGAATGTATATTTTCAAAGAAAAATCCATCAACAAACATTTTACATCCATTCAATAAAAGTTGCTTTGTAACTTCACACAAATATCTTAATATGTATTTTTATAAGCGAAGGATAATTTTATTGCAAATTTAAATAAATAAATCATTTATATTAAATCATAGAGTTTTTAAGAAGATTTCTATAGAATTTCAAAATCTCAGATCATTGAAGTTGTACAGCTGAGTGATTTTTATTGCATACATAGTTCAAAGATATTCAATTCCTAAAAGATAAAATACATTTACATAAAAAGTGATACACTATAAACAGAAATACTTTTCCCAATGATAAATCCAGTACAGTTGTGTTAGGTGCTTAAGTTCACAAACAACTTGAGACTTTATTAATATTTACTATCACACATATATTTCATAAAAATTTTGTATGATTAACATCATAATGATTTTCTTATTTATGTTTGTATGTGTTTGCTTTCATTGTGTATAAGATGCAATGAAATATTTATTGTGACTTTGATAGATCAGAATAGTTATCTGGTAGTGATTATTCTTGTATTTTTATCAAATTTTTGCATGATATGGTCTTAGGAGAATACTCACGCAAAAAATTATCTGCTTGATAGAACTTTTTTAAATTATGTACATAGTAAGTCACAATTAAAGAATTTGAACTTTGAATAAGGCTTGCTAGCGTTATCTGCTGTTTGGGTTGTTAAACAAAGTTAGGAATCCTATGATGAAAATTCTTTTAAAAATGTGCATTTCATAGTTTTTAGATGTTTCTGATTCACTTCTTAAAAAAATTATGCACAGATAAGTGAAGATATTGTTTATATCCATACATACTATATGCACCAAATTTCAAGGATCATATCAAAATATGCACCGTATTCCAAATTTTCACTGAACAAATGTATGTTATAAAAGTGTATTATGAGTCCCAGCATCAAGGTCTGAACCAAATTGAGCAAAAGCGGCTACTATATTTTTATCCATGTCTGGAAATTATAGCATGTTAAAGTTTTCCTTATTTTGACACAAGGAAAGCTTATAAAGTTCAAAATAATTTGTCTTACTTTGTCAATTTGTCTTATTAAATATAATTCAAGTTTGAACTGTAAAACTTTACTCAGTTGGCAATCTAGCATAAAGAAGATGAACATTTTATAAATCTCAGTTTAGAACTATATCCTAGGGATGAATAAAAGTAATCTCTCATGATGAACAGAATAATACAGTTTTGGAGAGAGAAACATTCAAAAAAACTATTGAGATTAATTTTAACTGATATCGGAGGCTTGTGTGCTTGTACATGAAAGCAAAGCTTCATGATGTTTATATCATTGGAAGGAAAATTGTATTACTATACTTTTAGATTTCATATAGTTACCATACTTTGCGCCCGTGAACGGCCCGCCCGTGAACTTTGACGTCAACAACGGCAGTAAAAATGATATTCAACGGGTGTGGTGTGATTGTACACATTGCATTTTCTCACCTACCACCAAACTTCTCAAGACTAACCACATAGGTATCCATTTCGGTCAGAATATACATTGTCCTTTGCGTTGTACTTGTTAGGTAAGGTCCCACACAAAGCTTCAAAATTTGCGAGCCCAGCATCTTCTTTGGAGTGAACTGAGAAATAGTATACTCAACCATTTTTTATTGCATCTGGACAAATTCTAGAATATAGTATAATAATTTGTGAAACGCTGAGAATCAAGTAATATTGTTTTGCTTTTGCTAGAATAATTTGTACTAAGAGTCCATGTTGGAGTGTGCTAGAGTCACGAGAGTGAGTGTGAAACAATACCCACATATATTGTTCAGAGGAGCGAAAGAGTATCCTAGTAAACCATCCAATGAGAATTTCAACCGACCTTGTAAATGCAATAACTGTGTATCAACTGCACCTCTTCGATCAAATTATCCTACAATTACACTCAAAGACACTCGCAGAATTAAAAAAGTTTCGGCAGTAGCAATACTGAAAATACACAAAAAAGAACAAACATAACAACATGAGAAAAAAAAACTTAAAATAAAAACTTGTGTAGTGCATTGTCAGTTGCTACCGAAGCTGCTTGTGATCTTTCGAGATCACATATCTCGTTCTAATATTCGTTTCCAACCTGAATGACGAGTTTCCAACAATATCACGTGTCTTTTTTTTTTTCCAAACAACAATAAATATCGAAGGGTAAACACAAGGTCTTCTGGTCCATCTAACGTAAGCAAAGAAACGGAAGAACCACCCACACAGGAGCCAATCCAACCGGTTACTGAAGAGGTTCGTGAAGTCTGGACCACATTGTCTAACGTATTTCTAAAAACTTGTACCCAAACTTCGTTGGGTATCAACTCCTTAAACATAACAATTGGGTGTCGGGTAAAGTTGACATAACCTTTTCATCAAAAACTAAAGCCAAACCTTTTAAGTCAGGGCCTCTCCCTATAGTCGAGTACCTGAAGGGCCGTTGGATAAGGAATTAAGTCATTATTAGAAGTTATCAATTGATATTTTCATAAACATTTTATCTTTCCACTTAAGCTTAACTTGAACGAAAAATGCATCAAGAGTTTTTGATATGTGTAGGTTTTCTGAAATACATTTAAGCGAATTACTGATTACGCTATGTTGATATATTTGTTTCAACTTTAGTAATAAATTCTTAAACATCCACCGTTTTATCTCACCACCTGAGTTGTATACATCATCAAAGAATAACTTAGTTCAATTATTCTTGATGATTGCACCTAAATAAAACAGTCCAAGAATAAAAAGGCCAAATGCTTTTCAAAACTAATAGAGACAAAGATTTGTAGATTCAAAGTCTTTAATACAATTAAGAAATTGAATGAGTAATGTAATACTTTCACTTTCATTGAACGATCCCTTCAGAAAAAAATTATAAGAGCTTGTGTATGTCTTACATTTTGACATTTGATGTGAAATCCAATATAGATGCAAATCCTACTACACATCTAATAGAGAGGTATTTCTTAACATTTTCAATTTTTATAACAAAAATAGATGTGAATATGATTTACACATTAAAATGTAAATATACCAAATATTTGAATTTCCATGTATAGTAGTCTTATCTTCAAGATACTAAGCGAGATCTTCATCTCAAGTTATGACTCATTCTTATCTAACATTTATGACATGAAGTATATTTCAAATTATGTATACAACACATTTTTTCTTCTCTTGCAAGCAAGTTCGAACAATTTAACTTCTTGAGAGGATTGACGTTGACCTTAGCAAGTATCATACTGGTTCTATCTTGTTTTATACGATGTGATAAATAAGCAGGATTGCTTTTAGAACGGACGAAATCTAATTCATTTTAATGTTTGACGTCGAAAGACCTCATTAAAACTGTGTATGTTTGACAGTTGAGCTAGAAGAACAATCATCCCACCAGTTTAGAACCTCATTAAAACTGTGTATGTTTGACAGTTGAGCTAGAAGAACAATCATCCCACCAGTTTAGAACCTCGAGTACAGTACTCGTATACTCTACACATCATGTTCTTATCTTCAACATCAAGTTTAGTAAACTCTCAAAAAGTTCATCAGTTTGTTCTCAACCTTAGAGTTATGTAGCGTACTGTACCGTTCTTCCAAACAAGAAAAATCCACGACAGGCTTTGTCCGCCGAGCTGACTTCCCATGTGCCTCTCATTTGTCGGAATACATCCACTTGCTGGAATAGATCAAAGATTCCAGGAAAAATGATTCTATGAAAATGAATTTTGAAATCTCTGTTTCCAGCGTGACGACAAGAGTGTGACAGCATAATGATGCATTCACCCACGTTCCCTCTTCGCTTGCACAACAAAGTCAAGATCTTTACTCACCTTCTTAGACTTTCTTAGACCAATTTGCAATCAGACCGAGTATAGAAGAACACGCTTGTTGTCTTGGCATGCTGTCGTTACCTCGACCGCTCACGCGATTCAATGAAAAGATCTGATTGAGGACGGTGCATGTTTTTTCCACGCCCTACCCATCGTAGGTTCTGTTTCCCGGGGTCTTGACACAGGTAAATTCGTCACAGTCTCCCAGTCATATTGTACATGCAGCTTAACACGACTCAAAGTACTTCACATGTGAAAAATCTTCGCTTCCATGCATTCTAGGAAATTCTAGTTCCACATCGGACCATCTTTCCTACCAACCAGTCTTTTGGATTTCAAATTCATCTGCAGAGCTATCATCTTGTCCATCCATCTTGAACATCAAACACCTCTCTCTCTCGAGGGAATCTTAGGTTACGAAGATTCCTTTGTAACCTAAGATTCCTTTGTAACCAGGATGTTGCTTCTCTGCGTTTATTTTGATTGACATATTTGCTCACTTCGGGCGGCTGCCATTTCACTACGCACAATATTGGAGTACTCTATCGATGGTCGCTTCTCTTGAACCACGCCCGCAAGGCGTCTCATGCCCAGTACACACATGCACAGGATTTGTGACAGTGCGACGAGAAGTTCAAATCTCTTCGGGTGAGACTTAGTATCGAAGAGAGTGCCTCCTGTAGCCGCATTTTCACTTCGGCCGCGCATGCCAAGCGGCTAACGTTAGGGTTGAAGCTGCAGGTGTGTCCGTCGTCATTGACGCTGCTGAACCTGCGACTAGGGGAATGGATCCGACAGACGAGGAACCGGAGCTTCCTTCCGCTGTCAAGGAGCTTATACATCGTCTGGAAGGCAAAGACGAGCCTTGACGGTGGCTTCCTACATTAAGCTGCCCAGATTTTCAAGAGTTTTTTCCGGAACGTGCATGGCTATCGACGATCATAGGGTGGCGAAGCGAAGTGCGCCTTCGGGCGCCTTCGAGTGCTGGAGGCAATCGGCAGCTGCAACACCTTTCATTCTCTGGACGTAAACATTATTTTTGGAGGAGATATATCGAGGTTGACGCCTAGCGAGCGGGAAGTACTTTTGAGAGGTTTCAGGCGTAGCACCGTTCTACGAGCGATAAGAGTTGAGGGATTGACATGGAGATCACTTGCGGAAGTGGAGAGCTTATGTTTACAGCTGGGGGAAATTTTGAAGGCCTCTAGCGTGAAAGATTTGACAATAGTCAATTGCAGATTGAGTGCCGGATGTTTCTTGAATCTCGCATCAGAGCTGCGAGGAAATTACGAGTCTAAACTCGACTCTTTAGAACTACGTAATGCATGGGAGAGCTCGAGTGCGGTGAGGCATATGGCTGTCGTGATCAACCGTGCTACTCGACTAGAAACTTTGGAAATAGGGTTCAGGGGGCCGCATGTACGACATGGACGAGGAGGCCGCTAGAATCTTGTCGCAGGCTTTGAAACAGAGCTCGGCTTTGAAAAAATTGGTTACAAAGAAGGTGAAGGACGAAGCGTCAGCCTTCTTGCTGAAGGCATTGCATGGAGATGGTGGCAATGGAAGAATTGAATGTCTTCATCTCATTTCCGTGTCTGGACTCGGAGACTTTTACGAGAACTTCTGAGACCCCACACTTACTTGATGGAAGTGATGTGGGACCCCATGGACATGCGTCCCGAGGAATGGAGCGAACTGCGCCAAGCCATACGTGAAAATGCTACACCAAGAACTATTCGCTTAATCCATTTCATGCATCACAGAGATAACTTGAAGGGAGTAGAAGAGCTTGCGTGTTCTGATAGCTCCGATGTCAAGGACTCTACAGTGGAGCTGATTATAACATTTTAAGATTACGATGCATTGTTGTCAGCAGTCAACGTAGTGGGTAGGGTATTGCGCGGAAAAATCAAATCTCTTAAGTCGTTGGTTCTACTTGTGGTAGCAAAAAAAGAAAGGGACGAAATCCATGGGTTGCTGCCATCAGGCAGCAACCCATGGAGACGAACGTTTCGTCTTCATGGATGGAAATGGTGGAGAAACTTTAGTCCTGAAGAGACTGAAATTATTTGTTAGAAGCAAAGATACTTTGAAGGGAGTATGGAAGGGGACCTGCTTTGTTTCTTGCGAGAGAATACAAGTAACACTCACTGTCTGATTCCGAACTCGATGACGAGGCGTTCGGGGAACTCATTGGTCTCTTGCAAGTGTACTTGACTCTCCAGCAAATATATGTATGAGGAACTTCATGGGCGGAAAGGCGGCGCCTATTGATGAAGCTCTACGGGAAAACCTGAACCGGCCGGCTACATGAGTGTCTTCAGAGAAGCCAAATTAACATTTGGAGATGCAAAAGCTGGTCGACTCTTTTTATGCGGCTATCCTGGAGCAGGTAAGGTGTCCTGTCAATTCTCGTTTTTTTCTCAACGTACGTAAACTAGCAATTTGAGGTTTTACTTTTCTAAAATTAATTTTAAAGTTTTAAAGTTCAGGTCTCGATCTAGACAAATCGATATGTTTGTGAAAAATATGACGGAAAGTTAATAACATAAAAGTATACACAACTAGATTCAAGATATAACATATAGATATTTAACTGTTTTGTGAAATTGAAAACTTTTGTAAACGTTTATCTCATCATATTCTTTTTAAATAACATAATGTCAAATCACTAGCAAAGTAACGAGCTGTATATGTTGTCATTGTTCATGTTCGATTTGTAGGCAAGACTCGAACTTTGATGAGATTAGTTCAAGGCAAAAGTTGGCTGGGGATCAAATTGTACAAATTGCTGAGTACTGTAGTCTGGTAGGGGAGTTTTTGCCAAAACAATGAGGATAGCCAAGTTTCAATTTGGCATTTTGGGGTACAAAGTTTTCATACATTTTAAAATTTGCTGTTCATTCAAACCAAAATTTGTGTATAATGAATATACACGAATTGTAGTTTGAGGGAAGAGCAAATTTTGAAGTGAAGTCAATGTAAAGACTATATTATAGTCCCTTCTGCGAGATAACATAACAGGACATCATCTTCCACAAAGACTTGTGATTGGAGCTCGATTCATAGTGCACTAGGTTATGAACACATTTGCAAAAGACGTGAAGTCACAACCAGAGTGGTCTGTGATTGCTCGGAATAAGAAGCAAGTTATCTTTGACGAGTTGTTGAGAGAAAATCCCACGGGTTCTCATTTGTGTTCTCAACTCAGTTTCCTCTTGGTTACAATGACCAATAAGCACAGAAATTGCTCTGGTCAGTCATCCAAAAAGTATCGTGATTTTTGTTATCCCAGCTTGAAACACTTCATTCTAGCTCATTTTGTAGATGTATCCGGATTTGTGACTGAGTTAGATTTGTGAGGAGGTTTTGCGAAAACAATCACATGATCAGAGATCCTGAAAACATCCTTATCAATTTAGATTTGAGAATATTTCTTAGTATCTCATTCATTTCTTCGTCTGTGAGCATGTAAGCTGGAGTAACAGAAGCATGAAGAAGGGGGACACGTGTCGATGTATTGGGAATAAACAGATGAGACTTCATAGTATGTGGACAGGGGGATCCAATGCCAAATTGGAGAAACAACGTCACTGACTGCTGCTTTTTTCCTACACTTCCAGGTGAGTTTAAATCATGATTTCATATAAACTGAAGATATTGGATGCGTCAAGTTCTGATTGTAATTTGCATATGATGAAAAGAATGTTTCCATTCGCCGTATTATTGGATGGTTTCATTTAACATTTTTTTTTATTGAAGAAGTCCATGAGACTCAAGTTGATATTAGAGATGGATGGTTCCAAGAGATGGATGTTTTCATAACCACTAATTTTCTATCATTGTAGAAATTCATGGGAGGCAAGTTGATATCAGAGATGGACGGTTCCAAGAGATGGATGTTTCCAAGAAAATTGTGAGAAGTCCCTACTAATGTCGAGAGCATGTCACAATCTTGTTGGAAATAAGATTGTGACATGCTCTCGATATTATCTGGGACTTGTCCGGTAAGGACACAAATTTTATGTCCAGCAAGAAAAGAACTAGAAATATTCTTGAAGACTTGATGTTATGCTCTAAGCAGAAGTCTCTTAAATACAAGGTATCGTCCAGGGGTTGCTATCATTTTGCTCATCATCCGAAGGTAAGTGATGTAAGTGGTGTTTTGGACGTTCTTATCAATGATTTGTAAATTGGGGATGAACGGTGAATAAAGCATATCGTCCAAGAGTTTCTATCATTATGTTCATCATTCAAAGGGTAATATTGCATAGTGTTTTGATCTATGGTGATGTAAGAGATGTTTCGAAACATTCTTTTCAATGATTTGTAAATTGGGTTGACCGGTGAAAAGCGAATAGTATTTGACAACAAGCTCTCATATAATATTTTTTCATTAGGGAAAAGTAAATGGTGACTACTAACTCTCATAGTATAATGTACATTAGTGAGTGTACAAATAAGATCATCAATCAATCAAATATTGTCAAATTCCAAACTTTGGATCTGAAAAGATAGGATACAATACAAGATGTAAATCTTCTTAAAGTTGTTTAAAAATATTACAAATTTCCAAGATTATTATCATAATTGTGGAATAATCCGAAGAGGGAAAAATGCAAAAAAGTTGTTTTATAACATGCGGCATGAAACATGAACAATTTTTTAAAGAAATCTTCAACCTCACTTTAGATCTCAATTTATTTTCCTATAACTAAGCAAATTACGTAACATCTTAAGCTACTTGTATTGGGCAGAGGAAGGCACATGAAACGTAGAGCAAAATTGTATACTTCGCAGCTGAGAATATTTGCTACATCAAACAACTTTCAATCAAACAACTTTCACAAATAATAAATTGAATTTTTCACCAAGTACAATGGGTGAACCTGAAATGAACATACGTGCACTGAAGGAGCCAATAAGCGTTGTGTATTAAATCAATATACACGTCAAAAACCTCACGATAAACTGGCCTACAATGTTCTGTTTCCAAGCACTAGCCCAAAGGTCATCTTCACAACTGAATTAAGCAAATGACAATAAAACTCTGATGGAGGCAGCGGTGGGAAGAGCACTCTCGTATGTAAGCAAAAACGTAACCTTAATCTTCGTCATAAAAACTTCAGAATATGGGGCCGCGAATTGTTTCAAGTGAGATAGTTCAAACCTGATGCGTACTTGATCGGGAGATACTGAAATTGGAATCGCATATCGATATTGTAGATAAGTGCTGGTGGTTAGATTGCAGTGGCACTGATTGCCAACACATAGGGTGTCTTCTATGTAAGAAATCTCTAAGGCTTTTAACCTACTTCACTGAATACTATGCTCCTGTAAGGAATGCAGAAATGGATCTACCTAGACAAATTGATGAAAATGTACCCTCAATAGAAGTATTACGACTATAGAAACATTAGCCTCAATTAGCTCTGCTGATAGGAGATGAAAGATCAAATCAGCGGAGAGAACTTTCAATAACACATCAATGTTTTCCTCAAAAGGAGGCAACCTATGAACAAAAGGCATCTACATGTATAAAACATCTGTTACGGACATCCGACACAACAATTAATCTGACAACCACAGTAAACACTACTATGGTGTCGTATCTTCAACTGCCACCTAGAATAAACAGTAAAGAAACAAATATATTTAAATAAACACTTTCCCATTATTTACATATAAACATAAATGGAAACTCTAAAAAATTTATCCCCCAAAACCTTGGCATTTGCACCATTTTGTACCATTTTCTTCAAGCACAACAAAGGCGAGTACCGAAACCTAGCACCTCTTTTCCTATGTTTTGTAGACTTCAGACTTCTAGGGATAATATACATCTATGCATGGTACACTATGTTTAAAGACGTGTGCAACTTTCTTTGGACTGGCGGAAATAGGGATGTCACCCTTACGATCGAAAAGAAGAATTTATAAAAAAAACTCTTTCTCAGACTCCGATCGATAATTTTGTACAATTATGACCAGGTATTAATCTGATGCAAGAAATCCCTGCCCGAAGTAAAGATGCTTCCTGCGAGAGCCTCCGGGGATGTTCTAAGGTATGCAAATGAGGTCCCCAAATTCCTAAACTGATTGCGACAAGAATGTAGTAGTTCTAATTTGGACACACTAAATGTCCTCCAACTTCGTCATCCTGCTAGATATGGATGCAGTGGAGGAGGTCTGTTTCTTTTTGATAGTCCCAGAACTCGACGGTGCGATGTTGAGTTGTTGGGAGATATGAGTTGCACAGGAACACCAACTGCAACCATTTCACTTTCGTCATGAGAAGCAGGAGACATATCCATTGCTCTTGACCTAAGGCGGCTACAGAGTTCTTGTATTGTGCCATCTACAGGATATATTCATACGAATCTCAACAAGGGAATAATCATACAGTACACATTCTCGTAGTTAACCTTGGGCGAATACCACAGAACTACTGGAAAATACCTGAAGGTCCACATGGCGATCCGCCTGATGTAGCATCTTTATAAGCCATCTTCAAGCCCAACTTTGCAGGCTTGAGACCTGCTCCACACGAAATCCCAAGGGATTATTAAGAGATCCATACGTTAGTATGCACTTAGATGTTACTCAAACACAGAGGGAACCTACCATAAGAAGTGAGTTCCATCAGCAACAAGTACTTACGTGGTGTACATGCGGGAGCTGCAGTCCCCTCAGATGATTTTCTACCCAAACTTGTACTGGATGGTAAACCCTTGGCATTTCCTTTCGGCGGCCTGCCTACCTGCGCATGCGATCGTATTGTCACATCCGCATGTAATTCATTGCGGAATCCCGCAGAATTGCAATCCTTGACACTATCTCACATGTTGCAAGTATAACAGTTCTTACAGGTTTTGGTGGCGGTTTTCTGCTTTCAACTTTTTGCTTGCTGCTGCTTGAGACCTTCAAATCTGCTCCACTGCTTTTGGATCGCGGACCCTACGATTAATCGCAAATAACTTATGAGCAAGACCTTGCTTCAAGAGCTTGCGTCTTGGAAAATGCTGAATCTGGCCATTTCATGTGCCTAAGCAGATAAAATATACCTGAGGATCCTGAGGTTTAGAAACTCCCCCAAATAATGGTATGCATTTTTTTACAGTACCTTCCTGACATAAGTGCGAGAGGTAGACGATGGAGGCTTCTTAGCTAGAGTTTGACGTTTCTTGGCAGGTCTCTCCATGTCGAGGTCCGAATCACTTGCATCTTCACTAGACAAGTCAGTTGAGCTATCTGAGGTATCACAATCGACGACGTCTTCTTCAAGCCAATCGTCGTCATCGCTGGCTGCCTCATGATCCTCGGATGGTCTCTGCGCATAGAAAGAGAAAGGTTTAACACTTCCGAAATCATTTAAAATAGAGTCATGAGGTGAGGCTGAAACTTAGGCAGTCTTATACTAGGTTAGAAACGATAAGATTTACGGAGAAAATAACCAGATTTCGTCCACCAGAGGAAAGTTGACGATCATGGTCTGCCAAATTCATCTCGACCAATTTATCATTTGTCTCGAATGACTAAAAGTGTTGAAATTCGTTGCCAAGAGAAACGGGATGAGAAAGTTTTACCCTAGGATGCGGTCCGCCCTTTTTTCTTGTGACAAGGCTGCTGTCGTCCTGCGCGCTCACTACACCTGCTGATCCTGGCTGTCGTCCATCACCTCGAAGATCATTGCTTCTATCGAGATTGGAAGTTTGCTGCGCAGTCTCAACACCCTCCTCTGATTGCAGCTGTGAAGAGTCCAATTGCAAGTTAGACGCGGCCTTCACTGGCAAATTCAAGGTGCCAATTCTCAAGACATTGCAGTAAGAGAAGTGTAGACGCAGTCGGTGTCAGAAAGTCGTAAGTCCATGGGATAGTTTAAGCTCCGCTTGTGAAGTAGTGAATGTTGTTCAAAAACTAGAGTAGGGTACCTGTTTTCCTTCCACTGGGCCACCAGTGTGTTCAGATGAGTCAATCCTACACAAATCAGTAGCCTCAAATGCAACATCCACTAGATGTTCAAAGGCGGTGGCTATTTTCGTTTCAGGCGATAATCTCCCAGCTACTGCTTCGGACTCTGTGGGTGCTAGTGACGGTCCCAATGCTGATAACTCCAGCTCTTCTCTGACTTCATTCTGGTCAAGTTTCCCGCCGGGAACTGGTTCTTCCTCTCTTCCAGCCCCACCAGCCTGAAAGAACGATCCCAAGCTCTGCTGGTCAATTTGGCTACGGCACAACAAACAGTTTCATAAACTCTCGCGCACAGGACAGAACGTCTCTTGATTTCACGGTTCATCATAAAAGACCAATGGTTCACATCACAGCTGCTCCTATCGATCTTCCCAAACAAGAAATGCACTGATATGCAACCTACATTGTCAGCTATTGCAATTGGACCCACGGGCTTGAGCTCAGAGGAATCACATTCGTCAGATACATTCGGTTCACAAACCAACTAAAAGCAACCAAGCACGATCGTGCAGGTGTGGGTATAACAAGCCAAGCAAGGATATAGACCTGGCTTCGGTTTTTCTTCAAAGCCAAAGTTCTGCGCCCCTTGCCGTTTCCCAGCTCTCCTTCGCCGCCGCTACTGTGACGAGATGCATCAGTTTTGGTGCCGCGCGCCACTGTAAAAGGCGCGTCATCGTCGGACTCATCCGAAGAATCATCAACTTTGTACGAAACAACTGCTCTCGTTTTCCTCGTTCTTGAAGCCACCATTTCTTTTCCCCTGCCAGCCTCTCACAGGGACAAAGACTATCAGCAAATTACGTTATTATGCCACCTCCTCGCAGCTCTATCCTTCACTCGATGACAGATTGTCGGATATCGCCGACTCATCATTCCACAACCGCCCGGGCACAGAGTTTGCTGTGAATTTCGCACTTCGAGTACACATCAAGAGAATTGCGGAGCTAAGTCTCAATCCGATCAACTTCACACAATCCCACACACAGCCTCCTGAGAGAGACAACCTCGACCTGACATCACTCGAAGGCTGCTCCGGAGACACGGTCCATGAGTTCCAGCGCCGACGAGAGGTCCCAAGGAGGTTTGACATGTACAGACTCACGAGGCCCTCCCGTAGAATTGAATCTGAAGCTGGCGCCAAACCCACAAGCCAACCACGTCAGCGTCGGCCTGGGCAGCGAACACGTTGACGGGTCTTCTTCTCTGTGTAGCTTCAAGAACAAGTTATTGCTCTGAGCTTGACGCAGCGTACACGACTATTCGTATGTTATATGTACAGCCTTATCTCACGGGGTTTTAGTAAATGTTAAACTTCATCAAATTGCTGACTGAATATCAGAGCCGAACATTGGACCCGTACCCATGTTCAAACCCACCCATGACCATGGGATTTGGGTGGCCATAGTAATGTTTTTTGTCATGGGTGATCATAGGTTCCAAGTGCTTTCCAACCCATGACAACAATACTTGAGACCTGGTTACTAACTTGTATGTTTGTCATGTTAATATTTTAATTTAATAATTGCTATCTTTTGTATGTTTTAAATCTGTAGTCTATGTATTAAATTACCATATGGCACGGTAATGAACTCCAAGAGTGAGAACATATCTCACACTTGGAGTTCATGAGAAAATATCTCGCACTTGCACCAGACAATGTGCCGGACAACAATCTTTGAAACTTTACCTAGACGGTTGTGATTATGATGTTGGCATCTAGCTCTGATTCGATTGATGCAGAAATGATCAAGAAGGAACTAGAGAATATATTTTGAACAGATTGTGTATAAGAATAATGTTGGTCTGAAAGTTGATCTTTGGAAAAAGTTAGACATCTAGAAGCAACATGGGAAGGACCTCAAGTATGCAGCATGCTTCAGATGCAAGAAAGTATGCATATTCAAGAAAACCATTAATTTCAGCACAGTGAGTAATTATATGTGTCTTAAGTCTGAAAGATCAAACAATGGAGCAAAGAACTTATTTGTTTGAACAAACTCTTTCAAACCCTGTTAAAAAACTTGTTCAAATAGCCCTAGACATCGGTGTCGCAAGCAAGAATCAACTCATGTTTGAAAATATGTTCTCTCAACCAGTTTTCACCAAACGCAAGATAGAGCTTTACGCTAAAGGGGCGCGCTAGAGTGACCGAATGTCTTGAAGATCACATTGATACCAACTTATCCATGGCAAACATCCATGATCTCTAGACGGTCAAAATCAAAAATCAAATTACAAGTTTGTCACGACGCATTATATGAATGAAATTTTGCTCATATATATATACATTAATTACAATTGTATGATCATTTTTACATGGCTGTGTTTTCAAATACTCCTTAACAAGACAAAACTATATATGAGAATTATCCCAAACTATGGTCTAAAATACTATATGAAGAGAGAAAATAACAAATACAAAGTCTTATGAGCTACAAAAGCTATCTTCTGATTTTTATGTTTATTTGAACTCAAAAATAAGATTTATGAAATGAGCTAGTTCTGGAAGACGTAGTACAAATATACTTGTGAAAAAATTCTGAGAACAAATTAACCCTCAAGTTCACAATTTCGTTTGAAGTTCCTCCTAGAACTGGACTTATATGACACCATGAAGCCAATTTGCCTCGTTTCGAGTCGATGTGAAATCTAAACCATCTTTTGATAAAGAGCTACACCTCACTTACTTTCAATATTTGTCATGCAATATATGAGATAGTTCAATAACATTTGCATCTTGATTTTCCATCAAAATCAGGTGTTGAAGTGGTGTAATATACTTGAAATTTGCTTTATTACCACATCTGCCATTGGATGACAAGGTTGATTACCCATGCTATGAAAATGTCACGAACATTACTACATCAACCAACGTCTCCAAGGAGAAAAATAAATTATAATGAGTTATCTTTGTTACAAGGTCTTTCAAGCTATATGGAAATATGGATAACAAATTCAGTAAAGATGTCAAGAGTTGACACGCATATAGTCACGTTAGTCACGCACACATAATCACGTTATTTACGTGACTATCACACTTTGTTCGTATATTGTGTGATGTATCGCTCTATAATAGATAGTGCAATCCGAAGACAATATCATTTATTGGGACGTCTATGTCATAAAAAGATATGAAATTTTACGTGCAGCAAGATATATTTCTGTTTGTTGCAATTTGGCAATGATACATTTTTCTGACCCAGTTTATATTCATTTGGACCTAAACTAGTGCTACACTGAAGTTGCATCAAGATACTCTTTCTAAGTTATAAAGACTTCGGCAGCTTACCATCAGCGCGGCCAACTAACTCCCGTCACACGTTAAATAGTTGAAGTTGTCGCAATATGTAAGTATCATTAGCACACTATGCTCGGTTGGAATGTACATGAAAGATTATTACTAGGTTGGAGGGCGAAAGCAGTCCAAATTATGTGTGGTAAGACTGGACACAAAACGGTCTAGGACAGCCGTCCCCGGCTTTCCCGCAGGGTAGTTGAACGAGGCGTAAGTCAGGATACCATGTACTGTCCAGAGTAATGACATTCGTCATGGATGTAAAGAGTTTGACCGACATCGACAGAATTAGAAGAGACCTGGGATGTATGACGGGTAAACCATTTGGTTTGTCTCGGTTAGAGGTTATTCACTCCTGTAGAGATTTCTGTAGTTTCTCCAGGAGACACGTCACGCAGTATCGCTCCAGAATCTACATGCACAACTGCTTCAATTACGTACCGCAACATGGTCGTTTTCTGGATGTGACATAGCTAAGATATAACATGCTCGAACTCATGGCTCGTCGTCTGCCCACGTAGATGATAGTTTTACGTGCCTCAATACATAGAGATCGTTCAATTATTCCATTACCTGACCAGTTCCCTCAATCTTGAATACTTTCGATGTTTTTACCACTTCATTGCCTCCATAATCAATCTATAGATGTCCTGGATACGACTCTCGCGGGCGTTCACGGACAAAAATGTAGCTTCCACACTGTGCGCGTATAGGAGAAAGTTCACGACACGAGACCTCGATACAAGTGTCCTGCGAGGAGCATAAAACATGTAGGACATCCACTTTCGTCCACTCATTTACAGTGAAAACAGAACTGAAGATACGTCGCTAGCGGATTCATTATAGTCGAACAGGAAACAACATTGAAGGAAAGTGAAAGAAGAAATGTTAACTTATCGAGACAACTGCAATCGTGGCAGTCACATTGTGCCACAGAGTCTAGAATCAGCTGGAATAGCTATGGCATGACAAAAGAATTTTCGGTTACAAGCCAAATCTATGAGCCAATTTGTTCATTGAACGTATTTAGTCACAAAGTCTCTGGATACTCATATGGTTAGGCACGCAGTCACTTCCTTATCAGAAAGGATCATTAATAAAAGATTTCTCATTATCCTCATTTATCCTATTTAAAGGATAATTGTTTGACGCGTAAGCGATCAGAACATCTCAAGTTTACACCGACCACATATTCTTCATTGATAGATGAACGAACAAATAAAACAACAAAATCCTGAGTTCGAAGGAATAGAAATAGTCATCCAAGTGAGAAGAGAGGAGGAGGTGTGGCAAACAGAAGAGAGATGAACGAATAACACTCACAGGCGCATAGGAACGTTTTAAATGGCAATGGCTTTCCTACGTGCTTCTACCGAATGTGCAGCGCGCTAAAATCCATCAGAATGCATTTGTTTCCTGCGAATCTGCTATCAAAAATGTTTCATATTACGAAAGCACCTCTCTCAAAAATAGTGGTTGGCTCTCAAGATTTCGTTACATGATACATAGAAGCCTGCAACTTTCTCTACATTGTGATTCTACCTTATTCTCAAGAAGCCCATAGACTGGATCTTGAGTGATCTAATTTTTCCTCTTACAGTCGGCTTTCTCCCTGTCTCGCTTTTGGTAAAGCCGCTCTAGCACTCGCCTTGCCTCACATTGAGGGAAGTTAGTCAGATCGTAGTAATGAGGAGCAATGTCAATGAGCCTGGACAGACCACACAAACAGAGTTCACGAACGTCAGCCATGGCACATGCAAGTGCAGCGGCAAGTGGGAAAACGAAAGGCTAAAAGGTTTAGAAACACACCATTCTCCTTTCACATCGGTCACGATTCTTATGAAATTCCGACTGGTTAACACAAATTCGTTGTAGATAACCCACTCCGGCTTATGATCCAAACACGTGGAGGGATGAAGATGTACCATCTGTAAGACGAGAGAGAACAAGAAAATAATATACCACCAAATAGTGGTCAGTATTTTGAGAGACTGCTACGAATCAGCTTGAAGTCTAGATAGACAAACTACTGCGACCCTTCAACTGCACAAGCAGTTCTCACCACAGTAAAATCAGAAAGTTGATACCCTCGACATACGATACTGGAGATCACAAAGGCTTGTAATGAGTGATTCGATAAACTCCAATCTTACTATACCTGATTATCTTTCACCGTCAAGTAGTGTCCAGTACGTTCTAAGTGAGCAACCTGCATAAAATAACCTGCGAGCATTGCCTTCCGTATGTTCGGGTAGTAAGCAGGGCTTGTAAACTCAGTGCTGCACATTTTCAGGTTATGTCGGTTCATGATTCGGACAAGTTGCCCTCGTACATTATCGGCTGACTTCAACGCACGGATGTTGACGAAGTTGTCATAACACCATGTAGGGTCCTCACCTAGACAAAAAAACCACCACAATTTGAACCTTGTGAGTACCCCCTTCGAAAAAATTCTGGCATGGTAATTCAATCAATTTATGAGACGACATCAGAAAGAAAGAGCCGAAGATTCCAGGAATTTGCTCTGAGAAATCAAATGAGTGTTGAAAGAAAAAAAGGATAAATACGTTGTCAAGCACATGACAGTAAATCAATACAATAATAGTTCGAAACTACGCTAAATGAACAATCTTCTAATAACTCGTGTTACTCCAAAACTGGCAATAGATGAAATCAACCTCAGTGAGTAACTTACTATTTTGCTTATAGGCGTGGTAAACGTTGAGCAACGTGAGGTGATCGCCATCCACGTGTGCGAATCGAGCCTTAGCTTCATCAGCAGCTTTCTGGGCCTCCCTTGGGCGTAGAAAGCAATTGGGGACTATTTTATACAACCATTACGCATGGCATGGTTATCACAGGTGAGGCAGCATCACGGATGGTCAGCAGACGCAGAGAGGAGATACGCCGTGTGCGATGCACGCTGTGTCTGCACCAGCGCTATACTTATCATCATCACAGCGGCTTTCTAAGTCATGAAAACCTTCACTGACCCAAGAAAACCTAGACTTCAACTTCTCACTTCCTTTCTCGAGTGATTATATTATCGAGTAAAAAATGTGGATACTGGTTTTGCTCTGAGGTACTTTGTCACTACAGGGACAACGATTTTTTCATAGTTAACTAGCTCAGTAAGAGCCACTATGGCAGCCCCACAGAAACTTTAATAGGATAAGCAGCTTCAAATTTTACAACAATCCCCTAAACACAAAAGGCAAGACCAGGGTGGGGTTCGACAAATGTACCTGAGAGCATCGCAGTGATGGATAAGATTTCGTTCGAGCAGTTGAATTTGGGACTTATCACGAGCATCTTCGACATTTGAGGATCCAAAGGGAATTCACTCATCAGCTCTCCCATTGACGTTAGGTTACCATCATCATCCAAAGCTCCCAAATAATTCAAAAGCTCCAGAGCACGCATTAAAGTCTCTGGTGCAGGAGGATCCATGAAATCAAAGTGCACAAGATCATCTATCCCTAACTTTTTCAAGGTCAGAACAACGTTGGCCAGGTTCGATCGCAATATTTCTGGATAGGTTTGTGGGTGGAGATCGTTTTGAAAACTCTTCTCGGTGTACAGCCTAAAGCACTTTCCAGGCTGTGTACGACCAGCACGTCCGGCCCTTTGATGGGCACTGGCCTTCGATATGGGGGAAACTAGTAATGACTCGACTCTGATTCTCGGATTGTACACTTTCTGCTTGGCAAATCCAGGATCTATAACGTACACGATTCCATCGATAGTAAGAGACGTCTCAGCAATGTTCGTAGACACCACAATTTTCCTCCCGGGTGGACCCCCTTCCTTAGCTGGTGCAGGGGCGGCCTCAAAAATCTTCTGCTGCATTGAAGGAGGAAGCGTCGAATAAAGAGGCACAACTTTCACCGGTCCTACTTGGTCGCCCAAATTTTGTACCTCTCTAGTAATTTTTCTACAAGCATCCTCTATCTCCTCTTCACCAGTAAGAAACACCAGAATATCTCCAGGGTTTTCGCATATGTGAATTTGAACGACCGTCCGGATTGCCGCCTCCAAATAGTCTCTCTCGGGATCCTGAGTATAGAAAATTTCCACAGGGTGTAGTCTTCCTGGCACCTTCATGAGAGGAGCCCCATTGAAATACGCTTGAAATTTCTCCGCTTCTAAAGTAGCACTCATGACGACAAGCTTTAAGTCTGGCCGGTTCTTCAAGACCTCTTTAAGCAACCCAAAGAGCACATCAGTTGCCAACGTCCTCTCGTGAGCTTCATCAAGAATAATAACTTTGTACCGCTCCAAAAGTGGATCAGTCATAGCTTCTCTTTGAAGCATACCATCTGTCAAGTATCTGGATTCAAACACGCATGCATGTCAATGAAGGCGTTGTTACAGATACAGTATCATGAGACAACATAACATAAATGTCAACTGCCTGACCAGAGTTTATACATGAACAGAACAATCCACACACGAAGACAATCACACGCACCACTTCTTCTCTCGTCGCAAGAAGCACAGACACAAGAAAGATGTACGTACTTCAGACACGTCTTGGCACCGCTGCAATCCTCGAATCGAATACTGTATCCAACTTCCTCTCCAATGGTTACATCCATTTCGTCTGCAACGCGTCTAGATACAGACATAGCTGCCACTCTCCGGGGTTGAGTGCAAGCAATCTGTTTCCTGTTGGCAGTGTATCCAGCTTCCACCACAAACTGGGGGATCTGAGTTTGTACAATAACGACAGTCAGGACTAGGTATATTTGAAGTGCTTGAATTGCATGAATTCCGACGGCATGTGCCAATTGAATTTCAAGCACATGTCTGAAAGAATAAATTCGGCCACGAGACAGGCACCCGTAGATCTTATGGACCGTAAAGCTGAATCCTTGTTCTAAACCTCAAACCATGATCACTGTTGCTGCCGGATAATAAGCAGACAAATAACACTCCAGTAACAAAAGAAAGAAGCTAAGGACTGGAGGTCAGCGGATAAGTACAGGAGGCGGATCATACAGGCTACAATCCGCAGAAAACTAATCAACGGACCATTATTCTAAAACCTCAGTACGTTTTCCTTCTCGCACCGGAGCCAGACTATCAGAAGTCAGATACTTGCCCAGTCGACATAACACAATGAAAAGAATTAGGGAATTGAGTGATCAAGTATACCTGAGTGGTCTTCCCACTCCCAGTCTCTCCAACCAATATCATCGTTTGGTGTTTTGCCAAAATGTCGAGAAATTCTTGCTTTTGCTGCCACACAGGCAGTGTTCTGCGCTTCTCCAAAATCTCATAGTAGCGTTGTGAGTATGGCCGATTCGTATACGGATTCAGAAGAGGCACGCCATTCGCCTTGGTCTTGCCCGCTAAACTCGAGGTGTCCTCCACCACATCGAACAAACTCAGTTTCCTCTTCCTCTCCGACCCCATGCTTGCCTTCGATGATCGCTACTCCAAATAAGTCGAGAAATAGTGCAACACAGACTTCCTCAGCTTTGCAGCACAGGCACCTTCCCCCCAGAACGTCACAAGCTCCAACAGTGCTGCATGCTCGAAAACTCTCCGGAGCGACAGAACTCCCCTTGTCCCCCGAACGTCTAATCCAGACGTAGTGTGTACTGCCAAACCCCGTCCTCGTCTGCTCCCGAGCGAGGAGCCCCGCGCCAACCTAACAGGCAGTAATCGTTAGGTTATAGGCCCAAGTACCCGACCTCGACGAAAAAGGTGGACTCCAGCCACGACTATGCTCCCCCGATACTTCGTCCAGAGCGTCTCCTTCTCCCGGTCGCGCGACAAGACCCCAACCTGCGATGCCAGACCTAAATTTTATTCTCGGCAGCCCCAACACTCACGAACACTCCGGCAGTAGAGTTCGTGTTCGTGTTCGTGTTCGTGTTCCTACACTCTACAATGGCGCCCCGGAGAAGCTCCTCCCGACCAGCGCTCAAGAAAGCAGCAGCCAATGGCTTCCCCAGAACGCTATAGCGGACGTTCGATCGGCCATCAGGTGTTGCTCCACCGCCACTCCAGTCGACAGATGCGGCGGTTCAAACGACAACGCTCTCTTCTCATCGCGACACAAGAGCACGCGATACGAGCGAACTGCCACTATTTAGCGCGGCGCACATTTAGAACGCACCGGGCCTTGTATCCACGGCACTGTATAGAGCCCCGCGGTACAGTACAGGAACTTTCCATCGCAGAAACTCCCCGTCCTTCGTTCGCTTCTGTCGATCTGTCTCTCTGACTGCAGTTCAAGTCGCAACCGCCTGCACCGGTCCCCAGGACCGTTCGAATGTCGACGGCGACATGGAGCTGGAACGTGAATCCGGCGCCGGCCATTGTCCCGTTCACTCTCTGACCTGGAGTGAAGACACGAACTTAAATTCCACTACCTCCTCTCTCCTCGTTCGAAATGCTCATGTTCTACGCGAAGGTATAGACATGCAAATCGAACCCTGTGCCCGTGAGGACTATAGGATGTAAACAAAACGTGTATGTAGGTACCGGTGGACTTCGAAAAGTCATTGGTAGGAGCTCCTGAAATAACTGAGTTACTGTCAGTTAATATGCTATGTGTGTTCAAATATGTGCTACATAAACATACTTGTGTTAAAACATGGAAACTCTTTCGTTACTTCAATATTGAAACGATGTGGTATTCAATCTTGAAAAGCATACTTTAAAATTTTTGATAATTTACTAAATTGAATGTAGTTAATGTAATATAATAATTCATATATATATATATATATAATATCAGTTTATGATTCATAATGTAGTTTGACATGTTATTTCTTAAATATATACTTCATTACTATGATACTCTAAATTCATTTTATACCATCTTGCTCTATTGCTTGATATCATCTTACTCTACTATTGTATGTGTTATTTTACTCTGTATGTTCATGTATAAAAATATTTTAAGATCACATTGATAATTTGTGGTAGAATTCATCATTTCACATATGAATCTTGTTTTTGCCAAACTCATTTTTTTCCATACAGCTATGTTAAAATATATTACATACAATTTGTTTCAACCATAATAAATCAATACTAAGTTATAATCATAACATCATAGAAGAAATATAACTGAACACTTAAAATGATGAAACAAGTTCAACACGTGTTGTGTCAAATTTATGGTCATCTTCAATACACAAACTAAATTCTGGATACGAATATTCTATGCATACTTCATTGTTTTAACATATTGTTTACAACAACTGATCCAATCTTGAATCCTCTGACTAGTTTTAAACCGTGCATATTTCAAACAAAAAAACGTTGATCTTTACTGAATTTGTTGTAATTTGTTCAAAAAACGACTCATACAAATTCTTTCAATTGTTTGCATATTTTGAAGATTAAAACAGTTTTTTTTGGTAACAAATGTACAAACTTGATTATTTAAATTAGAATCGAATTGCTTCAAGAAATGAATAAGACATTAACATGATATTACATATTCATAATGTATGTGTAGGTATTGATTTCATGTGAGTGACTTCTAGAACAAGACAACTATTGAAGTTACGAAAAGCTTCATAATTTGTTATTGAATAAGTATTTTGGAAATATCAATATATAAATATGTAATTTCATACATTCAAAAAACAATAATTTAATACATCTATTCAATGCATGACACCATCATTTGTTAATTCTATGAAATAATATACATCCATTGACACTAAACACATGACATGTAGTGATTTTGTCAATATATTCATTAAAATAATGATTTTTTTCTTCTAAATTATTGATTAAGTGAGTGTATATATATATATATATATATATATCTCTACAATGCTAATTACATCACATTTATTTATAATACTGATGAATGGAAAATATTTTAACACATTATGTAATTAACATTAAAACCAAGATTTTGTAAAAAATTGATATGTTAATAAAAAATAGTTTGTGACATTTATACAAATTATTAAAACAGCTGAATGTAAAAGATATCAATTTGATATGCTTGATAATTAATTTTACCTACAATTTTTTTAATATATATTATATTCAAAATAAAATAATATTTTATGATTTAATGTATATATATAAATTATGCATTTTTATAAATCCACACTGCAAATGTATGAAGATTTAAATTGGCATAGATATTTTATCATGATAAAAAAGCAATACCAGAAAATTGAATTATTATTATACACATAACAATATTTTATAAATATCAGAATTTTCACAAATAATAATTTTAAGAAGTATACAATTATGCATGTATTTTGTATCATAAGATTTGTGAAAAAGTTGCATATCATGTATGTGAATTTGTTCACATACATTCGTAAAAGTAAGTTATTATTATAAAATGTGGCAATTCATTTGATAGATGATACAAACACAAAAAAACATATGACATGAATGGACACAATATAGATCAGTTGTGTACATTATTACAAAAACAACTTACAATGTTCAAGATTTTGATAATTTGTTCGGCGTCTTAAGAATACAATAATCAACTAGAAATCCATCGATTTGATACCTTGAACTCACCATTGGTTACAACACGTTATTAACTCCCGGCTTTCACATTTAGTCCATCACTTACAAAGTTGAACCCTAACATCATTTCCACTTATCAAATATTCAAATGTAAATATTTTGTTCATTCACACACAGAAATAAATGCAACTTAAGTAAAGAAAATTACAGATTTGATGTAAGTATTTACCAAATAACATATGATGTGATTTAGGATTTATTATATCTTTGATTATTTTGATATATTAGATTTTTTTTATGTTGTCATGCGATATTTAAGCAAACTCATGAATATAAAATAATAATATAAGTATTATAGATATCTATTGACATTTGTTGTTGCCTGTAATGATCATTTTGGTCTTCAACACGTTTGAATTATAGATTGATTGCAATTTTGGTTTTGTTCAACGTGCAAGTATTATGCTGCAATTAAATGTAAAAAAAAGAAACCAACATGCTAACGAAGTTTTTTGTTATACATGAAAAATATTTTGGAAATTTTGAAAAATTCATGATGAGGTGTGAAGCTTATATTCTTGCCAATATAAAATGACGTTATACAAATTTAATATGTAATTTGAATGTACAGAATATGCAAACAGACTATAAAAATCCAAATGATTATACAACTTATACTTATTAACATGAAATTAAGAGCAAGCATCATCTATTTGATGCTTTGAATCAAAAAAATATTGATTACATGTGGCTAATAAATATTATACAAAATTAAAATTGAAGAAAACTTCAAGAAGTATTCAACTCAATAAAATGTCAACCTATAAAAACACAAGCATTGAAGTTTTTATACAACTATGTACACATTAAAATATTAGTTTATCTTCAAACAACAAAATTTGAGCAATAAAAAATCAATATATATCATGAATTCAATGATAAATTATGAAAAAAAGATCAGAATCCAAAAATATGATCTCCTGCAACATTTAAGTGCAAAGATTTTAAATATATAATTGAAAATTTTAATGTTACAAAAAATGAAAAAAATAATAGTAATTACATTATTAAAATTATAAAATTAGTTTGAATTTTGGCTAAGATAATTGGCATATATATCATTTTGAAATTGACATGGATGTGCATGATTTATATTTGTGCACAATCCATAACAAAATAATTTCAATATTTGTCACTAAAGATTAAAATTTGAACATAAATTAAATTCCTTAAAAGATTTATATTATTCCATACATTTTAGTCTGCATTTTGATAAACATAATCACTTCAATCAGTCAATAGTATAGATAAAACAAAGTTAATCTTCATGATGCAAAAAACAATTCATGCTATGTTTTTGAATATTAACTTGTAACTGTTCATAATTGTTGATAAATGTTCATGTCACATCAAACAAGTATTTTTAGAAATTTAAATATTTTTGAATTGCAATATCATTAAAAACTTATATCTACAATACAGTGTATACCTCTTACATCATTATATGTAACAACATGTCATATTTCAAGACAAAATGCACAAATATAAATTTGGTACAAAATTTGTGAATGCAATTCATCTTATAATAAAAAAGTTCATATATCAAATAGTAGATATAATTCATTTGATTTAAAAAATATTTATTGATTAACAAATTTTGATAATTTAACATATTCTGATTTCATATTTGCATCAAATTTAAGAGGAAAATTGTATTTGATGTATTACAAGTAAACACTTTCGTTGGATTTTACTTTCATATACAAAAGGTTTTCACTATTTTTTTTATCAAATTGAAGTTGAAATTGCATATAGGAACTTAACTTAAACCATCTAGAGAAGTTGACTTAATTTATTTTAGGTATACCAAAATAAATGAGTGTACACATTAATCACCAATCTCCTTCATTGTTTTATCCAAGTAGAATTACTATATAGCAGATAAAAGTTGAAATATGCAATAAAAAATGTTAAATATGTTTTAATTACAGGGTTTCATTAAATAAAAATATTAAATATATTTTTATCATTTTTCAAATATAACTAAAATAATATAATTTTGACACACCATTATAGACAAAGTTTATATCTTCAATTTAAAAGTATGTATGGATAAAAAAAAACTACACACAAAAAAAGGTTAATCATGAAAATGTTTGAAGTATGAATTTAAGTACAACTACATCTAAAAATTTCAATCGAATAGATTGTAAAAAACTTGTTGAAGAAGGATTGATTCTGCACTTTAGACTATTTGACCACTTTAAAACTAAAAAATCTATCTTCAATTAGCTTTTTTTTGGAAAATGCAATGACTATATTACATCAAAGCATTGCAAACTTGTATAATTTGTTTTCATGTATTTATGAACATAATTAAACAACACACTGTGGTAATGCTGATAAATATTTTTTTATTGATTTTATACATATTGTTGTGTTGTTTTTTATT